GTGATAGTCATATGTCTAACAACTATTAATAAAAAATTGCAAAAAAATGTAAAATATCCTTTTGATAAAATTATGAGTTCTTAAACTTAGTATTTAGTGTCATAATTAAAGATATTTTACTTGATAAAATTATTAGTTTTTAAACTTAATACTTAGTGTTAAAAGATATTTACGTGACACTGACTGTCAAAAGAAATTTTTACATTTTTTTGGTATTTTTTATATAATAGTTGCCGGACATATGACTATCATGTAACATTTTTCGGTAGTAATTTGAAAAAAATCCGTCAAGGGTATTCAATGTGCTCAATAGTTGAAAAATTGGGTACTATATATGTTTTTGTCCAAAATTTGAGGATTAAAACCGCTCAGGTATCAAATTTTGAGTAGCAAAACTGCATTTTGCATTTTTCTCTACTGTATTTTTTAGAGGCTTTAGGTATTTGGCTAAGGGGAAAGATTTCGGTGGGCAATCATCAATCATGGAGTACCACTATTCAACACCCCTTTGAAAATGCTTGTGATTAAAAGAAATAAAAATACAATTAGGCTCACTAGACCAGAGCATAAATTCAATCTAAAGGATTTCAGAGGATTATAGTGATGGAGAACATGTAGTTAGCTAGTCAAAGGGCGAACACACAAGGGTCTACTTGGTTTAGTGGTCAAGACACTTCAACTCTGGTCTTTGAGCATATAATACACCATCTCATATGGGAGTTCATTAAGGTATAAACTATGTCATCAAATTGGACTACTTCTCTATACTTCCTCTTTGGAAAGTGAATCAAACTCTATTATTTCTCCAAATGAAACAAAACAAGAATGTTCATTTGTACACATATTGCTAATTAGGAATATTCCTCTTCAAGGGAACAACAAATATGATTGCAAAACCTGGCATTAAACAATCAGGTGATGTCATTCATACTCTTAATTTCTCGTCCCTCCTTCCTTTCTAATACTCAGAATCAGAAACATAGATTTTATTCATATCTTAAACTCGTAGTTAACATTTAACTTGATTGGCAGGGCAAATAGACTAACCAAATTGTTTCCTCTTCTAATACTTAGAATCAGACACTTAGGTTTCATTAGTATCACAAAACCCGTGGTTAACACTTCAGTCGATTGACGGGGCAAATAGACGAACCAAACTATTTTGATATTTGAAACTAGCATAGCTCGCTAAGAGCTCGTTCTGGTTTAATTGACCAACTAATTAAGTCAAACACAAACAATAGTTAAAGTTTTAAAACTCAATTCAAGTTTATCTTGATTAGAACAAATCTGAAATTATATTTTAAAAGTTCAACTGATTAACCGTAATTTTCAAACTCATTAAGCAAGATAAACAACTCGAGCCTGTCTTGGGTTTGATTAGCTTTGTTTACAGCCACAAAGGTTGAATGAATAGAGAGATTTTTCCTACCTTCCAAAATTGATGCACATACTTCACCCTACCTCAATTTTGATTCTTGTTGCTTTAATTTCATTGGCACACATATTGCTAACGAGGAATATTCCTTCTTAAAGGGAGCAACAAATATGATTCCACAACCATGCAAAACTTGGCACTAAACAATCAGGAGATCGAAACATTCTGATTAAGTTAAAGTTATTTTCTTTTTCCATTTTTTTAGGGATAATTTCATAAACCTCCCTCGAGGTTTCCAACAATTATAGTGAGCTCCCCTCAAGTTTCAAAAATTATACCTACCTCCATCGCTTTTAAGGTTTATGTAACAATATAGATCCAATAGCCTATAATTTTTGACAAATATCCTAAAATACCCTTCTTCTAGAGAACAAGACAAAACAAAACAAGTTTTTAATCTTTAACTTCTTATACGTGGCATACTCACTAAAGCAAATAAAGTCCAGTGACTCCAACTCGTCTCAAAATTTATTACTTGCTAATTCTTGTCTAATGCAACTCACTACCAACACTACCAATACTAAACCAAAAATGCCCCTATGTCCCTAAGAATAAATTCATCATTACTCTAGTACTCTTAGAAATAGAGACAAAATTCTACCTTCATAGAAAACCACATTCAATAGGTAAATAAAAGAAAGAACCAATGAGTCTTTTAATTGTTAGACTTTTTTGCTTAACAAATATAATGGTCACTTTTTTATCTTCCAACTCTCAATTTAATTTTTTTATGTATATCACTGCCACCTTTTTCATCTTCCCTAGTTTGACAATAAAATCCACAGTCTGCACCTTTTTAATTTGGTAACTTTAATTGGCTAACATTTGTAAAGAGTAAAACTAGTGAAAAAAAAAAGAAAGGTTCCAAAATTTTTATAATAAGACAAAAAAGTACAAATAAATTTTTGGAGATGGTAAAAATTTGATAGTGGTGTAGTTGGTAACAATGGAGTGCAGTATTTGGTGAGGGAAGGAAGCGGTTGTAGGAGAAAAAGAAAAAAGAGTATGAAAGACAGATGGAGGATGGTAGAGAAGAAGAGACGAAATTAAAAATTGATAGAGATTGTTCTTTGAGATAAGGAAATGACAAGTAGAATAATAAGAAATATTTTTCAATTTTAAATGTCCCTTTATGAATGAACTATTAAGTGGAGGATATTTTAGTCATTTGATTAGACCAAGGAGGTCTATGAAATTATTAAAACCTCGGAGAAGCTGAGTGAAATTGTCAAAAACCTCAATAGAGGTTTCTAAAACTATCCCTATTTTTAAGGGCCTTGAGCCATCAACCAACTATAAATATGTAACAGGTGATGTCATTCATACTTCTAACTTCTCCCGCCCCTTCCCCTTCTAATACTCAGAATCATAAACTTAGGTTCTATTTGAATTGCTATTTGTGAAATTTTTTTTTTATAAAAAAAGGCACTGTATTGATTTGATATATATGAGGTAAAAAAATGATTAAGAAATATGTTCACGAAAAATGTAAATTTTTTTTTTGTAGAAATTGCAATCCTTAATAATGCCTTAGATTTCCTTCATGTTACATATTCAGGGCAAATTTACTAACCAAACTAGTATTTTGGTATCGAAACTTTCCTAACCACCTAAGAGATCGTTTTACTTTAGTTGGCCAACTAAGCAAGTTTTATTATTATTATTATTATTAACTAAGCAAGTAATATCTAAAGTTTCAAGCTTGATTTGATTAGCACATAATTTAAAATTGTGTGTTAAAAGTTCAATCTAATCGCACTCAGAATTGATAAAAAACAGATTAACTTCAGTTCCATACATAAACAAGGAGCTTAACTGCAATTTTTAAAATCATTAAAAATGATTTACAACCTTTATCTTGTCGTGGGTGGGTTCAATTAATTTTGTTTACAGCACTAAGGTTGAATAAAGTGGAAATTTTTCCTATATTCCACCACTGATACACATATTTCATCCCTCACCCCAGAATATTCTTTTGATTCTTCATGCTTCAATTTTGTTTCTTTCTCCTTTATCTTTCTCTTGATCTCAATATGTGGGCTTTTTGTTTCCCAAAAAGGACTTCTAATTTTTTTCGACAGGAAAAAATTGAATTTAAGAAGTGGAGTGGGAAAAGAGAGATTGAATCCAAGATCTCTAAATTTTGAAATATCAACCTTAGTTACTAGATTGAAGCTTTCTCAACTAGTTGTTTTTCAGTTCACAAGTTATACAAGAAAACATTAAATTACTAAAATCCTTGTTAATTACTAACAATTTTGAAACGTTTCTAAGTTGATTGATCTTAGGTTAATACTTTTGACTAATAAAACATCCAGGGCTTGATTTCAAAGTTATTAACCTAAGATTTTAATTTCAACGCAAAGCGTTTGTAGTCCAACGGTTAGGATAATTGCCTTCCAAGCAATAGACCCGGGTTCGACTCCCGGCAAACGCATATCTTCAGCATGTTTGAACAGAATACTGTTTTTTTTTGGATCAATTGAACAGGAGACTTGGCCAGGCCTTACCAGCTACATCCTACACCCAATGTCAATCTGACTTTTTGGTCTTAAAAAGAAATGACAGGTATACATTTAGCTAATCTGACAACCTACACAACAAACAAAGCAGAGAAAAAACTTCTGAACGTTTAACTGCAATTTTTAAAATCATTAAAGATGATTTACAACCTTTATCTTGTCGCGGGTTCTATTAGTTTTGTTTGCATAACTAAAGGTTGAATAAAGTGGAAATTTTTCTTATATTCCACCATTAACACACATATTTCATCCCTTGCTTGCTCACCCCAGAACATTATTTTGATTCTTCGTGCTTTAATTTTGTTTTTTTTCCTTTAACGTTATCTCGGTCTCAATATGTGGGCTTTTTGTTTCCCAAAAAGGGCTTCTAATTTTTTCGTAAGGAAAAAAAATTAGAATTTAAGAAGTGGAATAGAAAAAGAGAGATTGAACTCAAGATCTCTAAATTTTGAAATCTCAAATTTAATTACTAAATTGAGATTTTCTCAGTTAGTTGTTTTTTCAGTTCACAAGTTATACAAGAAAACATTAAATTACTAAAATCCTTGTTAACTGCTAACAATTTTGAAACATTTTTAAGTTGATTGAATGTTTAAAAACCAAAGTGATTCAACTTGTCCTGGAGGTGACTAATAAAACATCCATCGCTTCGTGTCAAATGTATTTCCTAAGATTCCCCCTCAATCGAAAGCGTTTGTAGTCCAACGGTTAGGATAATTGCCTTCCAAGCAATAGACCCGGGTTCGACTCCCGGCAAACGCAAGTCTGCAACATCTTTTAACGGTAGACTTGACCAAGTCTTACAAGCTACATCCCACACCCCAATGTCAATCTTGCACTGACTTTTGATCTTAAAAAGCAATGACAATTAGCTAATCCGACAACCTACATTCTACAACAAACAAAGCAGAGAACAAACTTCTGAACTTCCAACTTAATCCGGAAACTGATGATTGCTATGGACACAAGTTCCTTTCGGATGCATTTAGATTTTCTGTTTGGCTAGCTTTAGGCAGCAACATAAAATGCTCCAACAAATATGACAGCAAAATGATCAGACATTATTAATATCCCATTAACATTGCTGAAAAAGCAATCTTATCCTGCGTAGGAGTGCAGAGATTGTGCAAAATGAGTATATGTATTCTACAAAACTCGACGTCTGTTTTACATTTGGAAAATCGCCTAAGGACACCTGGAAATATAGATGGTGAACATCTGCTCTATGACTGTTCTGTACAGATGGTATTTACATAACTAGAGGAATCACTTGTTTTCTCTTGAGCCTGTTGGCAAAGGTCTGAATGCTGCCAAAACCACAGATATCTTACACATTAGGAACCCAGCCATCCCGAAAATAAGGTCGTTTGGTGTCAACACCCTGGCAGCATCTCCTGAGATGTATTTTGCAGCAATAACAGCTAATGCAAAAGCCAGAACCAAGCTTGTCAGTGAACCTCTAGATTTTCCCAGTATTTGACCCAAGTTTTCCATACTGTTTGTTGGAACCATTTCTGCAGCCGGCAATCCATCGACCGACCTTTGCAGTAACAGTAGATATAAGAACCCTCCAATCCCACCTGTTAAGAATGCTAATGCAGCATTTTCTCCAAGTGAGAATGAGGCAATTGAGGAACCAGCAAGGATAAGCATTGCATCATAAAGCAACAATGAAAATTTCAAGTCTGCATATTCCTTCATGCTTTCTTCACTAGATAAACTCTGGCTACCGAGTAAAGATGGATGCAATTGTTTGTCATTTACTGAGGCAATGACATCCCCAGAAAGCTCGGTAACTGAACAGGGTCTAAGTTCTGCCATGGAAAAGTCATTAGCTTCACCAAGTAGTATATCCTCAAGGCCAAAGTCATATTGGAAACCCTAAACTGCACAGGATTCTTGTCAGTTTCAGTAGACGGCGATTGATGCTGACAAATAATAGTTAAGCTCATTTGTCCTAATCTCCACTGACCTGTCATTGGCAACAAGAGAATTATCGAGATTGCAAGTGTCTAACATGGTCAAGGCATGTCAACAGTATGATACCCAGCAAAAGCTAAGAAACAACCATATATCTACGAAATTAAGTTGACAGTCAAGGATCTGATTGTTGAATAAGTACCTTGAAGCTTACAATAACAAGCATCTGAATATGACAAAACAAAACACATTTTAGATATTCCTCAAAAGATAAGGTCTTCCTTTAGCCAATGACAAATTACTTACGGTGCATCCAACCAGAGTTTGACATTGTCAATGAGACAAAAGAAGCAATAATTAGGGAAGTTATGATTAGAGTCATCAAGCATCAACTGATACAATAACAAGCATCTGAATATGACAAAACAAAACATATTTTAGATATTCCACAAAAGATAAGGTCTTCCTTTAGCTAATGACAAATTACTTATGGTGTGTAAAACCAGAGTTTGACAATGTCAATGAGACCAAAGAAGCAATGATTAGGGAATTTATGATTAGAGTCATCAAGCATCAACTGTTACAACTGTTACACAGTTCTCCTCAATGGTGTACCAAGATTAAATTATGTCCACAACTTCCATTATTCATGTAAGCCCTAAAGAGCTGGCATCAGCTTCTATAAATAAAGACAGGCTTAAAGTTCAACTTTTATCATAAGCCAAAAACTCTCTTGATTAATGAGCTTTGCTGATTTCATATTGTTCATGTTTCTAAGAAATGGAACTCCTAAAGTTTTTCTTCAGTATGTGTCATCTCTAACCTCCATGTTAGCATATCTAGAACAATATTTGGACTTTCTATAATTGGTTTAGTTGGTCCTAGCTAACAAACGTATAAAGTTACGGCCACTGCTTTCCTCAACCAAAGACTACCACCATCAGTTGTAGGGATTTGCCAAGTATGATAAATAGCAGGGATGAAGCAAAACAAGTATGAAATTTCTTTTCCTCTAGCGTAAGTCAAAAGTATTTGAGGCAGTTGACGGTTGTTTTTATTTTAAGCCTTTGAAAAAAATGTAGGAAGAGTGTATCATAGCATCTGATTACTGTGATGTATAGATGCCACAAAATGCATTACATATGTCTGAGCATCTGATCATATAAAACACGTACTTAAAATAATTTTATCCTTTTATAACTAACCTCCAAGAACTAGAATTAAATGCTGTGAAAGCAGGCTAAAAGAATAATGACTCAACCCAGAAACAAGTAACGTAGGCATCACCATCTATTTTTACAGATTTATACATTTTTTCATGATCAAAGTGTGATTAATGAAATGTGGCAGGTTTAATCTTTTCGTTACTGAAAATAATTATCAGTAGAATCTCAAAAAATGTATTCTTTATTCAATTCATATGCCTAAAACTTCTCTAAATCGAAGATATTTTTGAACAACTTAATGAATTAGAACTTGTTGTTCACAAATTCATTCTTCCACAAATATTATTGTTATTATATCATAAAGTACATCACATGGATAACGTGTTAATTTAAGAGTTCCTGGCCGCTTCATCCATACCTCATAATAAGTTGCCTAATTGTCTAAGAATTCAGACACAAGTTTACCACCATAGGATCTTGGATGAATTTAAGCTTCAGGTAGGTTCATTTTTTTTCCCCAAAAATTCTAATTAATTTTCATAGAAACCTAGATAAAATGTCCATATAGCCCAAACTTCGTGTGAAGATCAGTTGACACATAGTGATATTTTTGCAGCAACATTCACGCTCATCAATTGCATAATCCATTGGTAATCACTGTAAATGATTCAATATCTTACTAGAATCTCAACAGAACTCCTTAATAGTTAGATTAAAATGCAAAGCAAGTAGGAGTGAATAGACTATAATACACTTATAAGTGCAATCTTCTGCAACTAGAATTCTTGCTAATGCATATCCAACCGTTTATAATGTTTCTGCATTCTTGTGTGCTTAAAACCCCTGCCCATGCAGCCATTTTTCCTGGGTCAGGAAACTACATAACCCCTCATACAATAAGCCATCATTACCAAGATGCTGCTTCCACCATCATTTATTTGGTATTATGCAGAAAATAGAGACCACATATGGAGATCAGAACTGATTTTTTTTTTTTTTAATTTCTTTCCTATCAGTCCCTCAAAACTTACACAGCTTTGCAGGAAAACTTGAATGTCACAGATAGCATCAGCTTCCATGACAAATTAACAAAATGAGAAACTTCATCATGTTCTCAATTAAAACAGGGACAAATTTTTATCGAAGGATCCTAAATTCTTTATCAAGCACAAAGAGATATGCTTTTGTAGTCAGTGCACTGAATTGGAACTCATATCTGGAAAAGGCTACCTGACTCAAGGCCTACCCAAATGGCTGCAATCTTCTCAAGTGTTGGTCCCCAAAATATGAACTCATCAATACAGCCTCTCCTAAAATGGAGAACTCCAGAATTTCATTGTCACCTGACTGCAAAGACTGATCTTTTGCCAGAGAAGCTGGTATTCTTTGAAGGATAGAGTTGCTGTTATCAGCTATGAAGCAAAGAAGCACTCCAGCGTTTGAATCAGTTAGACTGGACCCATACATGCTACTAGTCTGTAGTTTGACTTTGTACAATGATTCACAGTTTTGCACCTTGAGAGAATAAAAAATCTGTTCCAGTGAGGAAGGCTCGTAAATTTGCACTTCTGAGGCCGGCAAAAGTTGAGCTGGTTTTGCATAGCCCTGAAAATCTGAAGCAGAAATTTAGCATGGAATTATTAATATTGACTAATTAGATGCCAAAGCAAATTGTTACCAGCTAAGAACAAGATCAAATAGCTGAATTTGTTAGAATTGATGATGGTTAACGATCAAGGAAAAGGGGGCAATGATAAAATTGAGCTACACCATCGCCTGGTATTGATAAATGTTTCACATGCTATCTCTGTGATATTCTTGGGTACAACTCGTCCCTCTTTTAGCTGTAGGGGTTTAAGTCCCAACCATCGTACAGAAGTACTCCTTGGACTCGGCTATGGAGAGAGCATAACCGTAAAATGACGCCCATACAATTTCTTGAAGGTAGATTTCAGAAAACCAAGGCTGGCGGAAGGTTGTTTTACCTATTTCACTACATCATATGCATGTACTTGAGTAATGCTTTAAAATTCATGGAACTTGTATCCTAATTGTTTGAGTCTTATAAATTTTTGTCCTACAAACAAACCACCAAGAACCATCTTTTTCCCTATGCCTCCAACAAAGTCGCATCTTTTGCTTATGCACATACATGCAGAAGATCAAAGAACAACCAAACAAAATACTTATGTACAAAATTAAGAGAAAGAACGCGGAAAATGGTGCTGCTTAACATTAAGCATTTTATTGCTCTATTGGTTCACCAGCAAAGACATTTTAGTATTCTAAAATAAATTGCAGCCCGGAAATACAAATGTACAAGACTAATTTCTCATTCATCACTCAATTTTTTTTACATGGGGGAAAAACACTTCCCACATTGCTAGTTCAAAAATCACCACTTTGAAAAGAAAATAAAGAAAAAAACCATATTTCATGCAACCTAATCATCTATTTTTCTAAAACAAGCCTGTTCATTAGTCAATAGGGCTTAATCACACAGAAAAAAGAATCCATCCCCTATTCCTAAAAGTAAATATATCCATAAACATATTACAGCAAAGAAGGATTCAAACATGTGCTACTTGAATGAAACTTTAACAAAAGAAATAGAAAAACACAAACTCAAATTAATGGCTATGGTTGGAAGAAAAGATTGTACCTTGAAAATCCCATTTCTTGGAGTAAAGAACCAGTGGAAAATGTCTAGAACGAGTGCCAATCCTTCTAATATGAATTGGGTTTTTTGAATATCTTGCTGGAAATATAGTGCCAGCAGCAGAAATCACATGCTTCAGTGAAACTGCCATTTTTCTGCAGACAATCCCCAGCAGTTCTTGAAAACTGAGAAGAATGTCAGCTGATTCTTGCCTGGATCAGTAGAAGTGGAGATATGTTTGTCACTGTTGGGCTCCCAAAGATAAAACCCAAAAAAACTCGAAGGCCTATATCTATTTGAGGAACCATCCAGTCGTTTTTCCATGATTTAGGCCCATAAGATGATCGCGAAGTTGTGTCAGAAATTGGGCTGGGCTCACAAGCGTTTGAAGGCCCATGCATTCTCATTTCCTTCTAAATTTTTTAGACAATTTTTCCCCTTCTAAGGCAGGATTTTCAAGAATAATATTTGCGTTGCTTCAAATTCGCACACCTACACAAAATAACATATAGTCATAGTTATAATTTTATGATAAAAAACTAACTCAAATAACTTAGAAAATATTCCTTTTTTTTTTTTTTGGGAATGAATTGTTGAATATCACTTAGAATTTATGCAAGGATTAGTTACAGTTTAGGGAGATGAGCTAATTAAGCGTTTCTTGTCCTTCACCCATGGTTATGAACTATATTATTGGTAACTTTTTTGCTTGGTTTCTTGAGAAAATATTGCAAAGCAATTGAGAATTGGTTATCTTTATCTCTCTATGGAAGTTAATATTTTGAACATCTGAATTAATTAAGTGATACTGAATTTTTAGACAAAACTTGCTCAAAAAAAAAAGTGATAAACTATTTACTTACTATTGAATGTGATATATACTCAAATGTACTTGATTTAATACTTAACAATTCAATAAATTAATGGATTCAGACATCAAATTTCATATTTCAAATTTCAGTTTTCAAATTTTAGTTTTATCAAATGCAACCTTAGAAGAGAAATGGGTTTCACACTTAAAAAGCTAATTAGTTTTGAAACCTAAAATATAAGTGGAGAATGATAGACGATAAAATCTAACATTTTTATTGAATAATTTATTGTGAGCAACAAAACAGTAAATCTAAATACACTAACTTTGATACCTATTTCTGCCCCAAATATCCGTCTACCAAATACCCTTGGATAATTGCTTAGGTGTTTCACCTGCCTTTTTTTTTTGGTCAATTATCATCATCTGGGGATGACCTAATAGGGTCATAAGGAACCGATACGGATTGAACCACCATCGGACATGGATCTAAAAGAAGCCACATTAGGTGGCAACTTCGATGGGAGGCAAATATGGTTGTAGTTGGTGCAAGTGCCAAGTACGGTTGCAATTGGTGATTTAATTTTTTTTTTTATTAATGATCACTTGTCTACCCTACAACTATTCTTACTCCTACTCCCACTCTCACTCTATCCTAGTTTAAGGAGAGGGCCCAACTGAACCTATTGGAGAACCGATCGAGACTGAACCATCATTAGACCAGATGAATGCACTATGCATCCGTATGGATTTAAATTACTTATGCATACAGTTTTGCAAAAGTAGTGCACATCCGTGTAGGAATTGGATAGGAATTACAAATATGGTAGTTGGCACATAATCAAAGCTATTGATAATTGAATTTAAAATAATTAATGGTATAGGATCATTGAATTTAATATAACATGTTAATTAGTAATGTTTAGTAGCAATTAATTTTTTATGTGTTTAACTGTATATTTGTTTTTCAAAAATTTTTAGTTTTTTTTAGTTTGAGCAATTAGATTTATATTTTTATAATAAAATTTTAACTTTTTCAGCTTAAGTTGATGAAATTGTGAAGGTGGTGTGGTTGCTTATCATGCCACTGATAAAAGTTTGCTATTCAAATAGTTTGTCTTAACTTGAACTCTTTTATGGATTTTTTTAAGGGTTGTAAAAGAATTTCAATATTTAATTTATTTATTTTTTGTGTTTTTATTTGTGATAATTGGTGAACATTTGGATTGTATCTATTTATATTTATAATGAATTTATGAAAACTTATGGTGAATTATGATATTTTAATTATATTTATCATTCCATGTTTTATGTATAACTTTTTATTATTATCATAACTTAAATTAAGTTATGTTGGTAAAGTTCAAGTGTAGAATGAAACCTGCTTAGTACTTAACACAAAAAAAAAAAAAAAAAATAGTGAACCTTTGAACCGGCCGGTTGGACCGGTCGGACCGGTCGAACCGTGAATCGGCCACCTCTCCGGTTCACTGACCGGTCCGAGTTTAAAAACATTGATCGAGACTGAACCATCATTAGACCAAATTGAATACACTACGCATCCGTATGGATTTAAATTACTTAAAGTGGCAAGCCACGTATAGTGACAAATAGTAAGAGACAAGGTTTAAATCCTTGACCTCCCATCCCACCAAACCTTAAAAACTATGGTGGTGGCCAACACCTTTGGCCCCTTAGTTAGTTGGTGATTTAATTTGCTCATTACTTTTCAAAGTTAACAACATTATCGAAACACATGCTACAGTGTCCACTTGACCATCCTATAGGTTAATTACAGTTTGCACCCGGAACTATAAATAATTGTAGTTTACACTCTGAAACAAAACTATCAATTGTAACACTTGAGAAGATAATTAAACACATGAAGTATACAGACAAGTACATTCCACAAGCAAAAGTTTTGTTGTGTTGTGAAATCCCCTGCTTCACCCACTTTCATGCAAACAAACACTTTCTTTGGCTACCACAAAAGTTTTAGAATGAAAAGCCAATTTCACGACTTATCTTTCGTTATCCATTTTTCTTCTTTTGAGTTTTGTTGGACTTTCTCTAATTCAATCATCATCTTCCTTTTTTTAAGCGAGAGGTGACCACGACCTCTTATTTATAATCATTCACACTTTACCATTCAACTCTACTCTCCCCCTAATTCAATCATTTAATCAAAAATTTCTTACTTACAATTTCTCCTATCTCATCACCAAACCATACTCTCTCCCTAACTCAATCATCTTTTATATATTTAAGATACCATGTTCAACAAATTTTTGTTTTTATGTGTAAGTAGGAGTTATCGAATCCAAGATTTCTCGTACTTTTTTCCCCTGAATCACTCAATCTATCTCTTCTCCTGTGTTCACCACGATTTGACGACCCATTATTTAACAATCTCATCGTATTATTCTGTAGACATACATCGTAATTAGTTTTTATTTAAATACCTTTTTCATTTTACATATATCGCATTACAAAATGTGATATAGTACATAATACAAAAAGTATAATTTTCTAAATAACTCTTAATCCAAACTAATACTGCCGACAATTACAGTAGCTCATCAAAGTGACTTCAAATGTCGGCCTTAGATTTAATTGGATGGCATATGTGTGCAATTTTGGAATTTACACTAAAATATTACTACTCTTGCATTCAAATTTGAGATTTATATATGGTAAAATACCACGTTGGAAATGATGATAACATTGTCTAAGAGATTCTTGCTCTTGGTCCAATATTTTGAGCGCTTGGCAGAAGATAGCCAAATCTCTTGATTCCAGCGGCCGATTATTTTGACTCTCCAAAGGCAGAACGGAACGCCCATGCTGCCACCAAAAACCAAATAAAGGAGAACCGACACAGGCACTTGGAAACTAAAGAAACGAAAGGTAATTAAGGCCACATTTATTGTGCGAAAGCGAAACTCTGTATGTGTGTGTGTGTGTGAAATTTTTTTTTTTTTTTTTGTGGTAACAATTGTGTGCATTCAACTGCACTGTGTTGTGAACTAAATCATAAATAAATAAATTACAACAATATTTTTATTAAAAATTAATAAAAGAAAGATAAGGCCACATATATATTGTGTGTGTGTGTGTGTGTTTTGTTAATTTTTTCTTTTTTCTGTAACAAATGTGTGAATTCAATTCCAATATGTGAGCCAGCCCCACATGGACTATTGAAGAATGTAAGAGTACACACCTGCCTACAACATATAAAGGTTAACAGCAACTTAAATAAACACATGGGAGAGTATTTAGAGCCATTGAAATCCATATGCACAAAGGCAAGAGATTATGGTCCATAAAAGAAGTCCTACTTTATATCGACAAGAAGCTTGGAATTTAATAAAATGGCAGTTGAGTTAAATTTAATATGATTCTTCTTGTTGTGCTCTAATGGCACATTATAAGAAGTTCTGCACAGATGTTTATGCATTTCAGGGTCAGCTATAATTTTGAAGTCCTAATAGTGAATCAACCCTCTTTTTCTTCTTAATTAGTATGCTTTGTGAGTGCCATTAAATCATTAAGAGAAAAGAAAAAGGAAAATTTTGATATTTAAATAGCTTGCTAATCGTACAATTAGCAATTATTGGCCAATTGTTACTTTGACATTTTGCTATCAAGGTCATATCAGTCCAAAAATTGCCGCCTCAAATAGATAATAACTTAAAGTTCCATTTTGTGTTTGCACTTTTGGCCATTCACGAGCTCTAAACTACCTATGTACGTGCTAACCTTTCCAAATTTTACTAATATAGGGTGCTAATTGAAGTGTTTATGCTTTAAAGTAGCGGTTACAAGTTCCCTTATCAATAACAAAAAAAAAATACGATTCAAAATTGTCTCATTCATTCTTAACATTGGATCCTTTTATAAGAAAGAGATCAAGTAAGACATACTTTTGGATGAATTATCAACTAACTTCCAATAAAATTTCAAAATTACAATTTCCAATCAAAAACTGAACTTTAGAAAATCGTGTAGTTTTAATATCTAATATGGAGCACCAAATTTTCGAGAAGTTTGGCTGATAAATATCGTGTAGTTTTAATCAGTGTTTTCAGAACCGGACCGGACTGGCCGGTTCAACCGGTTGGACGCGAACCGGACAGGCCAACGGTCCGGTCTAGAGCTAAACCCAGAGAGTAGTCAAGAACTGCTGGAAACCGGATGACTCGGACGAACCGGAAAAACCCAAATTGTAGCTGCCAAGAGTCGAACACCAAACCTTGTGTTTGTTATAAGAAGCCCTTACCACTGAGCCATAGGCAGCGGACATGATTTTTTTGTGCAAATATCTACTTAACTTATTAAATGAAAAACTAAAAACACCTTAAACCTAAGATACATCAAACTTATTTCTTTGTATATAAAACATATATAAATGCAAAGATAGTAATAATTGTTAGTATATGTATATATATAATAAATTAGGTGTATTAAATGTGTTAGGACAACCGTTAAAAAAATCCTTTAATAAAATAGCTTTTTCAAATTATTTTTTAAATTTTTGTAGAAAATGTACGACAACGATTTAATCTGTGTAGAATAAAAATAATCAAGAAATAAATTTGTGAAAAAATAAAAAATTAAAAAAAATGACAATCTAATTTGGTAACTAAATTGAATTGTTTAGATAAGTTATTGTTTTCAAAAATTTTAATTACATCAAAAACACTTGTGCTTTACATCACAAATATATTGTTGGTATATCTATGTTTGTTAATGTACTCCCCTTGATTATTAATGTAATCCCCTTGATTTTTTAATTTGTGAAAATAAATAAAAATACTTAGACTTTTAATTTCAGTTACAATCTCACAATAAAATAATGGTTGAAATGCAATAATAGATAGAAAGATTGAGTAGGGATATTCTTGCTCAATTGACATTGTAGACAAGTATTTAGGAAAAAAATTGATAAGTAATTATTATTTTAAAAAATATTTATAATTACACTGTACACATTCGTACTTTACATCATGACTCCTTGATTTTTTTTTAATTTGTGTGAATAAACAAAATACTTAAAAATTTTAATTTCAATTACAATCTCAAAACAATATCGTAGGTAGTAACATTGAATAAGGATATTGTTACCTAACTGACTGGTAAATAAATATTAAATAAGGGAACATTGATAAATAATTGGGCGCTAATAACAATTTTCTAGTGGACAAAAACGTGAATATGGAGAATTTTTTTCTTTCCAATGAATATGGACTGAGTGAGAAAGTCAAATGGCCGAATTGAAAACACAAATTTGAAAAAAGTTAAAAAAGAATTATTTTTTTAACCCAAATTATTTAATGCTACAACCACTCACTTTTATCTCATTTTTTGTTTCTTATCAAGTTTGCATTTCTATTTTCGATTCTCTTGACTTCCTTCGAACTCCAAACTTTTTTTTTTAAATTGCAATCTCTAAATCCCAGAGGCATAAATTTAAAATTTAAGTTTACAATGTCAAATCCTCATAGACGTGAATTTTGTATAATTTCAAAATATTATGATATTTTTGGGATAGATTTAAGATTATTTTGGTAGATATAATTGAAATTGAAATGAAATTTATTTGTTTTAACTTAATAATTTAAAAAATTTATTTTTGAAAATCCAAGTTATTCAAAAATAGTAAACTTTTCATCATATAAAGTTTTAAATTAGTCTATTGCATGTCTTATTTTGTGCATATATATATTTATATAAATTATTTTTTAAAAAATTCATTGAACCGAGGTTGAACCGGTCCGACCGGTTGAACCTCGACTCTTTCACTTCACCGGTTCAATTGACGGTCCGGGTTTTAAAACATTGGTTTTAATATAACGTGGATTTTCCTCTTTACTTTTTAGGTAAGCAAATTTCCCATTTAAGCACCCTTTGACCTTCTACCTAACGGCATTGGTTTCTCTACGCAACCTACCCCTTTTAGTATTCTATTCTATGCTCTATGATGGTCTAATGACCAACAACGCTACTCTCATCTGATTCCTGATTCCCCCACCTTGTCTTCACTACATTTCCTCATCAAGCAAGCTTTCTCTTAACTGAAAGCTCCAATACTGAATTTCTCAAGGAGGCCTGGGTTGTGGAATCAATCAGAAATGGGAGCAAACATCAACAAGCCAAGTAAATCTCCTCCACCTTCAGCACCACCACAAGATGACCAAAACTGCCCTGAACAGCTTCTCCCATAACACCAGCTCCCCTGCCGCGAAAACTCCCAAGAAGCTCACCCTCATCCCTCTCATATTCCTCATCTACTTTGAGGTTGCTGGGGGCCATATGGAGAAGAGCCTGCAGTTCAAGCTGCAGGACCTTTACTGGCCATTCTTGGCTTTCTCATCTTCCCCTTTATTTGGAGTATCCCAGAAGCTCTCATCACAGCTGAGCTCTCCACTACTTTTCCTGGAAATGGTGGCTTTGTCATCTGGGCTGATCGCGCTTTTGGCCCCTTCTGGGTTCTCTCATGGGAACATGGAAGTTCCTCAGTGGAGTTATCAACATAGCTGCCTTTCCAGCTCTTTGCATTGACTATCTCAAGAAACTCTTCCCCATCTTTTCATCAGGCCTGCCAAGACAGTTGGCAATCTTGATTTCAACTTTGCTTCTATCCTTTCTCAACTACACAGGTTTAACTATAGTTGGATATGCAGCTGTTGCTTTAGGCCTGATTTCACTGGCACCATTTGTACTAATGTCCTTGATAGCAATCCCACAGATTCATCCTCACAGGTGGATCAGTTTAGGCCAAAAGGGTGTGGAAAAAGATTGGCGTTTGTTCTTCAATACATTGTTTTGGAACCTGAATTTTTGGGATAATGTTAGTACTATGGCAGGTGAAGTTGATAAGCCACAGAAGACCTTTCCTCTAGCACTTTTGTGTGCTGTGATTTTCACTTGTTTGGGCTATATTATTCCTCTTGTAGCTGTTACTGGGGCAATATCTGTTGACCAAAATTTATGGGAAGCTGGATTCATGGCTGATGCAGCAAAAATGATTTCGGGTCAATGGTTGAAAATTTGGATTGAAATTGGAGCAGTTTTATCAGCAATTGGCCTGTTTGAAGCTCAGTTGAGTAGCAGTGCTTATCAGGTTGAAGGAATGGCTGAGATTGGATTCTTGCCTGAGTTTTGTAAAGTAAGGTCAAAATGGTTCAATACACCTTGGCTGGGAATATTACTATCAACTGCTATTTCACTTGGTATTTCATATATGAGTTACACAGATATCATATATTCAGCAAATTTCTTGTACAGTTTAGGAATGCTTTTAGAATTTCTATCTTTCCTTTGGTTGAGGAGAAAATTCCCCACCATGAAACGGCCTTATCGGGTTCCCCTGCCACTACCGGCTCTGGTGGTTATGTGCCTGATTCCAACAGGATTTTTAGTGTACATAATGGCTATAGCCTCCAAGACTGTGTATTTGATGAGTGGCCTGATGACAGTTGGTGGGATTGCTTGGTATTTGTTGATGAACTTGTGCAAGGCGAAGAAGTGGTTCAAATTTAGTGATGGCTATGCTGAGGAAGAATCTTGAAGACAAAGATGTTTGCATCTTTTAGTTCAGCATTTTTTCTTTTCTTTTTTTGGGCAATGTAGCAATTATAGGAAAACAAGTTGAATGCTTCTCTTGTCTTGTCCCTGTAGGAATTGATGGAATGGTGCGGGGTACATGCTTCCAAATGACTTATTGTCTTGTCATTAATTCTATGTTTTGGAAAAATTCATAATTTGGCTTTGCCTTTTCTTCTTGAGTTTTTAACCACCTGAATTCATTGAATAGACTCTTCATCTTGAAGGGCTAAGAGAATACTTAAGAGAAGAGCATACAGCTGGTGACATGTGCTTGATGTGCCTTAATATCTTGATTCTTCATGGTCAATGCAGCTACTATTATTGCACTTTAAAAATACTTTCAAGATTCTGTACTTTAGACTTTATTTGACACATTTTTATTTAGAGGTAAAACTCCTAGAGATCCATTGTACGAGGTGAAATTAATAGTAAAGATGTTTGGTACTTAGTTTTTTTATATGAAAAAAAAGGCCAAAACTCTTGTGAAGAACATTGCAATCTTTCAAAACCATCATGCATAGAGCTCAAGTCTACAAGGTTTTGGACACATAACATGACCCCATAAATTATAATCCAAATTTGTGAGGCATGCAGTTAATGGCAAGGGGCATACATTTGAGTGACAAAATTTTAAGTGAAAATTGTAAAATTCAAGCTTATGAAGTAGGTATTGACTGGTATCTGTTTGATGATACTCATAGTATCTCTCAAGATTCACCAACGGTGGAGGATTCACCAACCGTGGAGACTCCTTTTCTGGTCACTATCAATTGCCTTGACAAAACGAATTCTACTGGTCAATAGGGTGGAAGAGAACCTCACGGAAAAGCCAATGTCTGATTTGCTGCTGAATATTATAGGAAAATGAAGTCCAAATTGCACATAGAGTACTAATATCTGATTTGTGTCTTCTACAAAACCCTTAAATATCTTCGAATTGATTGACATACTGGAGACTTTCATGAGGATTAGAGTGGAAGGTTTGTTTATTAGAGCATATTTGCATTTCCACTTTACAGGATGTTTGTTTTATCAGCACGAATCAAGAAAAGAACCTTTTGATTCAAGAATTTGTTCTGGCACTTTAACTCTTTTATGAACAAGTGAATAACCTTTTGATTGATTGGGATTTGGAATGCTTGCTGATTATGAAATCCTTCCTATAGTTTTGGCTGTCCTGTACAGGAAGGTGGAGAATAGTTTGCAGGCCATGATAATGATATTTTGTGTGAGTATCTTGACTAGATTAGTGTCTTGGTCACCGCAGCCTATTTAGACAAAGCTCGGAAAGGAATACTAAAATAATTATCGATTTGTCTAATGTGACACCTCGTTAAAATATATTTCAAATGTTATATTTTTAAAAATAAAATATTAATTAGAAAAAATAAATAAATTTAAAAGAGGATAGGCAATATTAAATACAGAAAGTTTATAAATGCAAGACAGGATAATAATTATTAGTATTGTTAGTATGTGTGTATATATATATGATAGATTTATGAAATATTAAGTGTGTTAACGAGTAATCTGTGAGCACTCGTTAGAAAATTCCAATAATTATATATCATCTTGCTTCCGAATTGTATGAATTAGTGAGAATGTTACAGGAAAAGTCTCCTGCCTGGATGTGCTACTGTACTCACGAAAGATTGAGTACAGTGACGTGCAAGAATTCACTTTTTAATTTGGACGGTCAAAGCAAATATGGTGGAACTCCACGTAGCATCCCTTAATTTGTAACCAATTCTTATTTTACACCTTCAATTTTAATTTTAGACATATTATACCCTGAGCTATTATATTTGTTGCGTTTTGGACCAATTTCTAAAGGGTATACAGAAAATTAACGTTTTTCATTGATACCACGCATCTACTAGTCTACATGTCAAATTTCACTTCGTGCCCCTAAGTTAGTACCTATTTCAATTTATACCCAAACTCGAGTATTTGGAGATGGTGCATCAGCTAATTTAGTTTTATACCTTTGTAATTGTGCAATAGGAATAGAAAAGTTTTTATCTTATTTGGCATACCACATTGCTATCAAATTGTAAAATTGTTTTTCTAAATATTTTTATCTGGCCTGAATATGTTTGTTATATAATTTTTTTATCGATGAAATCTATATGACTTGTACATACAGTCAGGCATGCATGAATGCATAATTAATAAACAACTTTTACATAATTACTATAAGAATATTAACATTCTTGTCACTGTGCTCTTCACCAACAAATAAATTATGTTGCTCAGTGACAGATTAAAGTAGTTCAAACTTATTCTTTGATCTAATTATTATGAATTAATTGCTTTAGTTGATTTATTGGTAAATAAACCAATTATAGACAAAGTTTTTGCTCTTTACTTGTAATAATGCCTAAATGAAAATCGTGTGATATTCCTCACTTAGGCATTTGTTAAGAAGCCTTTTGTTATTTAACTAATATATAGGTAATTATACACACATGTAAATTAGAAAAAGAATGCTATAAATTGAAGGCAGTAAGGTATAGTAAAATCTACGCAAAAATCTATGCATGCCTATTGCACATTTTGAAAATTTCCAAAACCCAATTGGAGGATGATTTGTTCAAAAACTAAATTTTTAGGTGCAAAGTGAAAATAGGCGTAACTCGAGTGTACAAAGTGAATTTGACCTACTGACCAACAATTTGCGGTGTGCACACGCGTCAAACCGCTCAATTTTCTCAACAATGATTAATGGAGGGGGTCATAAGGGAATGGATCTGAAAGCTTAAGTTGTAATGTATCTAAGATTATAATCAAGGTTTCAAAGTGAGAATTCATAAAAAGTAAAGGATGTAAAGTGGAGCTAGTTAAGTAAATAATTAGTGGTGACTAGACATCAAAATTGTTGGTTTCACGACAAAAAGTTTTTGCATGTCAAAGTTATTGCTTCAATTTAGTGAAAGTGGTTACTGAGACAAATTAATGAGCTGAGAGATGCCAATATTACCCAAAAAAAGGTGATGGAAAAGAAAATATATGGACGTTGGACCATTGTTCTGAGATTGAAAACAAGAATCCTTAGTTTTGAGATATTTGGCACAAATAAAGCGAGGCCTAAAATGAGGGGTATAGCTTTTATTCTAACTTTAAGATGAAGCACAAATGCTGTTCCATTCACAGTTGAATATATTAATTTTGTACTAAAGTAGTTACATAGCATCTTTATATCCACATTTAGATAATCTACAAAATCAAATTGGAGAATGCAATTTGTTCAAAAATTAAAGTTCTTGGTGCAAAGTAAGATGGGAATAATTTAGGGTGCAAAGTGAAATTGACTATCAACTTATGGTGGGCACGCGCTTCAAATCCATTAGCTTTATCAACGTGGACTCCGTTTGGAAGGTGAGTTTTTTGAGTGTTTTTTTTTAAGTTTTTTTTAAATATTTTGAAGTGTATAGTTTAAAAACTTTGAAAAGTTTTTTGAGATTACTATAACTAAAATTTTTAAAAAACTTATAACAGACAAACTTGGCAAAAAAACTTGGCTTGGTTAATGGAAGAGTCAAAGGGGCATGGATCCAAAAGCTTAAGTTACAATATGTATCTAATACTGTAATTGAGGGTGCAAAGTGAGAATCTATGAAAGATTAAAGGGTAACTAACTCATAAACTCCTGTACTTTTACATGATATCGCATGGCTTTTTTAAAATTTCAAAATATTCCTATAATTTTATGTAAAATAGAACTTTGAAGGAAAATTGTTTCCCTAATACCATTAATTGAAATATCAGTATTTTCTTTACTTAGGCGTTAAATTCAATAAAGGTCTAACCACTTTCTTTGAAATCATAAGGGAATTATGTGAATAGATACACAATCAAAATTATGCAAGGAGTGGAGATTTTTAAAAAAAAAAATTATACTTTTTATTGTTGCAGCAGAAATAATAGTACACAAGTGAGGAGCATCCCCTAAACAACTTTGCAACCAATGGAGAAAGAAAACTCCGTGAAGGAGTTGAATGTAGTAATTTAGCAATAGAGTACGTATATCCATTATTAATAGTTTATGACTTATGATTCCAATGCGAAAGCGTAATTACTCAACTAGAAGAAATGTAGTTAATGTTGTCTTCAATCTCGAGACTGCTTATTTTTAGTTTTCGTTCTTAAGATTTCTTAATATGGCATTCTAATTAATGTAGTGACTAATGAATTTCTTACATTGACAGGTAAACATACATGATAATTGATACCTACGCAAAGAGTGAATTTTAAATTTGAACTCTTTCAAACCGGTTATTATACCAAGTAAACCAAGAACCGGAGAATCCAACGTCAACCAAGTCAGCCATATCCATAAACTCAATAAAATCCTCAGCCTCAGATACTCGAACGGACGACCACCAAACTTCTCCCCCGGACTTGTGATGACATTAAAGTCACTGCAAACCAGAGTAAGAGGAGGCTGAAATGCATGAACAAGGTTTTGCCATAAAATAACACGTTGTGCATAAGAAAATTACTCATATATATATATATATTTTATGTACACACACATTCAATTATATATACCTAACCAAACCAACCCATTCTTAAGAATTTTGTTTTTGTAATCTCTTTTATCCCCTTCCTTTTCTTTATCATTATTATGTTGGAACCAATCTAAATGGACAAACAAATTGGTTAATCCAAATTGAATCGTTGCATAAAAATATCATCATTAAAATGATCTAAGCTGATGCCATTTGTTATTAATTATTCTTGTTATCTATATATGGTAACTTTAGTTATTGTGAATTTAATTGTTATGCTGAAAATTTTATTAATTTGGTCGAAAGTAATAAATCATTCATGTAAAAATAGAGGAGAAAAGAAGAGGGAAAAGAAAGAAGAGATGAAGTATACTTATAATTTTTCTCTCTTTTGACTACTTCTATGTCATTTAATAAATTTTAATTATTCTTTTTATTATATATGGTAGCTTTGCTTATTTTGAATTTCATTATTAAGTTGGAAAATTAACTAATTTGATCAAAAGTAATAAATCATACATGTAAAAATAGAAGAGAAGAGAAGGGGGAGGAGGAGGAAGAGGCATGGGAGGTGGTGCTATGCAATGTTTTGAAAAACCGGACTGGATCGGCCGGTTAACCGGTTGAACCGCGAACCGGCCATGGC